CGCTTCATCTTGAAGAGCCATCGGCCGTCGACTACGTTCACCTTAGGTGGGGGAGCTACGTCGACGTACGTGCCGGTGGATCTCCAAGATGCCATCTCCTGCTCCATGGCAGCTATCTACTGAGAGGCCCAGGGTTCCGAGGTCGCCTCAGCATAAGTGCGAGGGGTCGGGATGTCAAGGGCGGCTGGGTCATCCTCAGGGACTAGCAGTATGGAGCAGAGATGGGGAGCGGCCTCGGACACGAAAGCTAGCTCGTATTGCCTAACCTCGAGGACGTCAAAGCCAAGGGCAAGTGCACCCCCGACGGACGGAGGACGGGCAGGGTCAGAGACCAGAGCGGTGGCGTAGTCAAGGCGGTGGGTAGGGGCAAAGTCAGCGGCCTCAACGTCAAAATCGTCAAGACTAGAGACAGGAATAGACGAGTCGGTAACAAGGGGGGCGAGGACACGAGGAACAAGAGGATTAGCACTATGAATAAAGCCAAACAGAGGAGGCGAAGAGGCAAGAAGCGACGACTGAAGAGGCGACGGGAAGAGCGGAGAATGAGATGCGTGAGAATGAAGCAACATAGGGTGAGAACGCTGAATAGAAGAGACAGGACGAGCACGAGAGGCACGGTGAGACCACCAGCGTAAGGGGGGGTCGGGTCAGGAGACAAAGGAGGAGACACAAGAGGAGAACGAGGGGGGAAACGGGCCAGGGACGAGTCCGGTGGAGGAAACAATGGGCGGTAGACAACGGGGGAGGCGACGGCGGGGGAGGCGCAGGCAGGTGGTCGAGGAGGGAAGACCAAGGAGGCGAAGTGCGGACACCGGCGGTGACTGCTGCTGCTGCTCCATGGCAATACCAGAACCTCCAACCGCACCACGGTTACCTCCGTGATGCTCCACAACAGCACCCCCATAACGAGAACCCCCTCCAGCACCGCTGCCAACCCCAGGACCGCGGAGACAAGCCACGACAATACCACAAGGACTAGCACCCCCAGAACCAGCACCCTAAGCACCAGAGCCCACACCCCCAGAGCTCACTCTGGATCCTTGCGCCCACACCCCCAGAGCTCACGGACCCTTGCGGCAGCGACGAAGGATGCGACGGCGATGGCGGATGCTACTGCGGTGGCGAAGGAGGAGACACAAGGGCGAACACAAGCGACGAAACCTGAGCCGCAGGGCCCCCAGAGTCAGCCGACTCCTCCACCGGGACAACCAACAGGAGGGGAGTAACGTGAGGGAGAGAAGTAGGGGCTATCGGGGAAGAGGGGACCAGGAACAGGGGCGGGGTAAATAGGAGACCTCGGAGGGAAATGGGGATTTAGAATAAGACAGACTCGTAAAAAATGACGTCACGAGAGTGAGACAGGCAGTGAGACAGCGGGTGGTAAAAGTGCCAATCAAATGTGTCGATGGGGAAGCCAAGAGACACAAGGGACGGTGTGGGTAGTGAACTAGTCCGTGCCCAAGGCACGAACATGAGCGAGGCAGCCCCAGGGGACCCGGTCTAGAGGAGGGTCGGCAAAAACTGTGGCCGCTGGAAGTGCGGCCACATGAGCGGCGTAGCAAACAGCGAATGACCGCAGAAAATAGGGTGAACTGGCATGGATCATGGAGGTACAAGCCACCTCCATGACCAAACCGATGCGTCACTCCGCGACCCCATTCTGTTGTAGGGAGTCCGGCAGGGTGTACGACTGAGTGGTGCCCACTGCACGACAGAATTGGCCAAGCCGATCGGAGTCGAATTCGCCGCCATGGTTGGAGTTGAGACATAGCACGGGAAGGCCGCAGTGGACTCGCGCACCTACAACCCACGAGATAAGAACGCCAGGCATGTCGGCCTTCCGCTCCTAGGGAAACATCGTGGTGTAGTGCTTGCAATTGTTGACAAGCACCAGAAAGTAGCGCTCTCGACGCGGCCCAATGACGAGGGCGGGGTCCCAAACCTCCAGGTGCAGGGTCTGGAGTGGCAGAGTGGTAGGGGGAAGCGAGAAGGAGTGAGGAGCATGGCACAGCCGACCCTTGACGCAGGGCGTGCACGGCGGCGTGGGCGAGGGAGGGAGGGCAGGGAAACCTAAGACAAGACCGTGCTGGGACATGTGACGCAGACACGGGAGTACGGGTTGACCGAGGCAGTGGTGCCAAAGGAGCAAGGAGTGAGTGAGCGTCTGACACGAGCAAGCCGCAACAACCTGGAAAGGTGCGACCACTTAGTGGGATACTCCTACCGGGGGGGACGTTATGTCTAGCGTGAACAGGCCAGACACTAGGTCCCGGGGGAACGTTGTGAGGGGGGCACTAGTGGCGGCCTCGGTACAAACTACGTACCACTCGTGCCCAGGGAACGTAGTGGTGGCGCCAAGGTCCTGAAGATAGCCGACACTCATGAGGTTCCTAGAGAACGAGGGGAGGTGCATACCTGTAAGAGAAACCGAGGGAGCCGCCGGACAGGAAAGCGTAGTGAAGCTACGTGCAACAACTAGACGGGAGGAGGGGTCAGCAAGCGCGTCAGCTGCTAGGACAGCAAGCGGCGTGAGAGTAGTGCGGTCGCGGAAGAAGCAGGAGGACGCTCGGAGTCTCAGGGTGAAGGAGAGCACGGCGGTAGCGTCAGCCAGCGAAGGGGCTAGGATGGAGCTGAGGCTAAACAAGGCAGGTGGTCCTACACCTGACATAGCAGGGAAACCTAGACTGCACACACTGGACTCACCACTAGGCAACACAGGGTAATAAGGTCTTGTGACACTAGAGTTGTCAGCATGCATGGCATACAAAGCATAGCGAATCGGATCCATATCCATCTCAAAGTCCGGCACACGGCGATGTACCAGATTATGCCAGTCGGGGGGCTCCTGCGCAGGGCCGAATCGGAGACGAAAGAGGTCGTCGAGGTGGCGGTAGCAGCGAGAAGCAGTGTGGTCGGGACGGTCGCAGACGGTGCCGCGTCGGGGGCCGGTCTGAAGCTGGTACTGGCAGGTCACCGCACCGGGGCCGCCTCCCGATACGGAGTTGCGGAAGCCGCTACCACGGCCACCACCACCAGAGCCACCAGGCCACCACGGTGATGGGGGTCCCCAAGGCTGCTGCTGCTGCTGGGGCTACTGCTGCTGCTCTCCTGCTCCTGCTGCTGTGCCGGGGGATCAGCCCCGGTCCCCTCATCTACACCACTGTTCCCTCCACCACCTCCGCCACCACCGCCACCCCCGCCACCCCTGCACCCCTCCCACCACCACGCCCCCTCCTGGGCCCGGTGTTCCCTATTTTGACAAGACTGCGCTGAGGCCTCCGCAGCGGTCTCAGCAGCAAGGGCTGTCTCAGCAACAGCGGCAGAGACGTCTAAGTAAGTGCACTGGGAGGGAGCATAGCTCTGGAAAATAGGGACCACCGCAGTACCGCTCGACAGGGCAATAGTGCGCTGGCGGGTCTCTATCGTGGAGAGGGTAGTGACAAAGTCAGTGAGGGTGAGGTCAGCGGGGTGGAGGCCACGGAAGTAGTCGCGGGCAGTGGCAAGGCGGTCAGAAAGGCGCGTGGCAAGGAAGTAGAGGGTAGCGCCAAGGAGGGGAGGCAGTACAAGGAGCTGAGCCTCAGTGCTAGTAGCGCGGTAGCTAGTCTTTAGTGCGCGCAGGTGAGTGGCGAGATCAGCGACAGTGGGGAAGGACGCAAGATCAAGGAAGAGCAAAGGGAGAAGGAGACGGCCGGCAGAGGTGGAGGAGGGAGTGGAATAGCGTGCAATGGCGGCATCTAAATACTCCTTCGTACTCTCTATAGCGTGGTAGCGGGGGCGCTCAGACAGTGTGAGGACGCGACTGATAGCAAGTTGCGCAGCTGCGTCACGTGACTCCCAGACAGAGCAGGCGAGCCCAGCAGCTACAAATGCCTCATGCTCGGCGGGCGTGGAGGAGTCAGTGAGGGCAGCAGGCGGGTCTGGGCAGGGGATCTTACCGTCGACGTGGACGGCCAGGGACTAGCCATCCTGGCGTTGACCCTTCAGTGAACGGCGGAGGTCAGCGAGCCACACCTCAAAGTCGATCGCTCGACCCTCTGCGTCCAGGCGGAGCACAGCGCCCGCTATCACCACGGCTGCAGCAGCTATCAACCGCTAGAGGTGGAGGAGGAGAGTGCGGTGGAGGGCGGTGGAGAGAGGTGGAGAGCTGTGGAGAGCAGCGGTGGAAACGGCCGGGGGGGAGCACCGGCGGAGAGGGGGAGCCAAGGCCGGCGGGTTGGGGCAGCACAGCGACACGGCAGTTCGGTAGCATGGCGGCACGGTGGCACGGTACCACGGCGGGACGGTGACACAGCGTCTGGACAGCTCGGCGGCGCGGCGTGGAGACTCAGTGACTTGGCGGGAGCTAGGGTCGGCGGGGACTGCGGCCGGCGCAGAGAGGGGCCGGCGTGGACAGGGGCCGCCGCGGACTAGGGCTGGTGTGGGGTCAGGGCCAGCACGGACGCGAGGCCTGCGGGTGCGGAGCCAGTGAGCGCGAGCTGGCAGAGTCGGCGCACGCGGGGCTGCGACGAGAGCAGGCAGGGCCGACAGCGGGCTAGGAGCCACGCAGCGCGCTCTCGAGGGGGCGGCGGGCTAGGGTGCAGGATCGGGCGTGGGCATGCACGTATCTAGCCTAAAACAACATATAAATGTATGTTGACACATTTTTCATATTGCTCATGATAAGTCACTTATTCCAAACTTGTGCGAGAATGGTGATATCCCTTAGGTACCACTGAAATGATTCCATTTATCCCTTCCATTCCTTTTCCCTTACTGGCAATCATTATTGGAGTACAAGTGCATTCCTTTATATGGGATTCTGGGAGGCCATGGCCTCTAGAGTCCTAATTTGGTTTTCTCCAACAAAGCTTGAGTGATGCCATATTGAAGCGTAAAGGGGGAACAGGAAAATACTAGATGAACGGTCCAAAACCCATTTCAAAGTCAGTTCTAAGTAGTTTGCTTGTGTGTGCTCATATTCGTTTGTGGGTGGCTGCTATTGCGTGTGTGGGGTATGGAGCTCTCTGTGACCTAATGAAGGGGTCTTCACTGGGGATTGCTTGCTGACTCGGTACTCGTATTCTTCCTGGCCCGCGCGTAGACCATGGATCCAAACCAATGGCCGCCATACGTGCAAGGCGCTCCTCCTCTTTACCAGCCTTCCATGCGTCTCGCCACGCCCTCCACCCATGCTTGGCCGCCACCATCCGCGGATCCCTCATCGGCGGCGGCCCTTCTTCCCCAGCCAAACTACGCATCGTATTCCGCTCACACCGCCCTCCCCGCGTCCTCCCGTTGTCATGTCTGCGCGCAGCTGCACGCGCCGTTTTGTTCCGCCGAGCCCGCCTTCGCTCCCCTGCTGCCAGCTACGCCCGCGACTAACCCCTGGGATGCGACTACTACTGTCGCTGGCGCGTGGCCGGGCGCAGCAGAAGCTGCGTGGCAGCAGCAGCAGCATCAGCATCAGCAGCAGCAGCAGCAGCAGCAGCAGCAGCAGGCACAGGCGCAGGCGCAGGCGGCGCAACAGTATTGGGCGTCGGGCGATGGCGTGCCGGGGTTTGAGGGCTCAGGCAGCAGTGCGCCCGACCCTAGCCACTGGCATGCACCCAACTACCATCTTCCTCCTCCCCCCTTTCCCTCTCATTCCCCCCCTCCCTCTCATCCTCCCCTCCCCCCGTCACATCCCCCCCCTCCCTCTCATCCTCCCCTCCCCCCGTCACATCCCCCCCCTCCCTCTCATCCTCCCCTCCCCCCTCATCCTCTCCCTCCCTCCAACCCGCCGCCGCCCTCGCATCCTCCCCCGCCGCTTCCGCCGCCGGCTCCGCTGTACGAGCAAGCGCAACAGGCGTCCGCGGATGGGTATGCGGCGGAGGTTCAAGGGGGAGCGCCCGCGATGGGTGCGGCGGGCGACGCGGCGCACCAAGCGACGTGGAACTGGCAGCCGGCGCCGCCGTTGCCGCCGCAGATGCAGCGGCAGGAGGCGCAGGGGTTGGCGCACGCGGTAGAGTCACACTACTTTCAAGAACAGCACGCCAGCCGGTATGCGCCTTACCCTGAGGCGCGCGCGGAAGCTCTTCCCCCGCAGCAGGAGCGGCAGCCCGGATACCCGGGGGAAGCACAAGGGGCCGGGGAGAGGCGGGAGCGCGACTGGGGTTGGGAGGAATCGCAGTGGCAGCAGCAGCAGCAGCAGCAGCAGCGGCGGAGGGATGAGAAGGAGTCGTGGGATAGGGGCAACGGGAACGGGCGAGAGTATAGGGGATACAGGGACGGACGGGGGCGAGGCGGAGAGAGAGAGCGCGCGCGGTTGTCCCCCCCATCGCGAGGGCACGCGGGCAGCAGGGCGCGGGGCGCCGCCGCGCCTGCAGCAGCGCCAGCGTTGTCGCCCGTGGTGGACGCGTCCAGTATCTTCAGGGAACCGGGGCGGCTGAGACGGCCGGCAAGATTTGTCATTATCCTCCGTGGTCTGCCAGGTCTGTTGGTATACCAGGGCAGTCTGGTCTTCCACACATTCTCGCTCATCGCCCCCTTCCGCCCTTCACCCCTTCCGCCCCTTCCCCGCTTCCACCCCTTCTCCCCTTCCGCCCTTCCGCCCTTGGCCCGTCGAGGCGCCGGTGCTCGGGGTTCCGCCCGCAATGTCATCTTCACCTGCTCCGTAGTTTCCTATGCCTGTGCGTGTGCGGCGCTGCAGGCAGCGGCAAGAGCCACTTGGCGCGCGCGCTGCGCGACGTGGAGGTGACGAATGGGGGGGCAGCGCCGCGCGTGTTTGCGATAGATGACTACTTCACGCTGCACGAGGAGGAGGAGGAGGAGGAGGAGGTGGGGGAACGTGAAGGGATGGGGCACGCAAGAGTGCAGTGCCAGGCAGTGGGTCAGGGCACGAGGGTGACTGAGCACCTCCCATGTGTGGCCTCGTCTCCGACCTCTGCGTCGCCGCATGGCATGGCATGGCATGGCATGGCATGGCATGGCATGACATGGCATGGCATGGCATCACAGGCGCCCCCTCATGTATCCGTGCATGCGTCCTACCCCGTGTCCTTTCCAACCCCTTCGTTCCCCGTCCCTCCCAACCTCCCCTCGTCTCACCCACGTGCCACCGCGTGACACAGGAGCGGGCAGCAGCGGCGCGCAGGCGGAGGGGCGGGGGCAAGGGCGGTGCTGGGAAGGGCGGAGGGGAGGCGGGCAAGGCAGGGGGGGAGCCACAGTACAAGTATGATGCGACGAAGGAGGAGGTGAGAGGGAGGCATTCGTCATGTGGCATGGGGAATGGGGCATGGGGCATTGTTGCTCTTCATCTCCTTGAAGCCTCTGCGTCATCCCTCTCTTCTTTGTACCCCAACCCCTACCTCCCATGCTCCTGCTTGCTTCTTGCCGCTCTAAGTCGCTTCTCTATTCACCTACCCCTCCCTTCTCTTGCCCAACACATGCGTGCATGTGTGCATCTGCGCGTGTGTGGCAGGTGTACCGCGCCAGCATGCTGAGGGCGTACCGCAAGGCGCTGGACGAGGGGCGCTTCTCCTTCATCATCGGTGCACCCCTCGCCCTCCCTCCCGCCCCACCATGCCTGCTCTGCTCTGCCTTCCTCTCCCTGCCTCCTTTCGCCCCCTTACCCACCACTTGCACTCGCCCCTCTCCCTTGCATCCGCCTCTTCTCCCTCTGTCCGTGCCACTCCCCCTCTCTTCATTACATGCTGTCTCAATGTCTCATTCTTTCCCCAACCGCCCTCCTCCCTTCCCTTATCCACCACCGCATTCCCCTGCTCTTCCCAGTAGAGAGCCCTCATCTGCTTCTTGTGCATGTCTCTCGCCCCTCTGCCCCATTGCGCCTGATAGTCTCCCCTGAATGTGTGCCGTGTGCAAGGGTTGCCATTTGGGAAAGCATTTCACAATTCCAGTGCTGTTTGCCCTCCATCCGCCGTGCTCTCAGCATGCTGGTCACTTGGACGTGTTAGTGCGTCGCACAGCTTGTGCGTCAGATACACTCATGAACAACAAGCACGCCGCGGCGAACGAGTATGGTGCATGTGATGCAGATGGGCCACCGCACTCATAACACCACATTCTACCATGTAACACCATATGCACATTCACATGGCATGGCATCGCATCGCATCATGCCGTCGTCTCGCTATCCAGTGGAGGACCGCAACGTCCGTGTTTCGCAGTTCGAGCCATTTTGGAAAGCCGGCAAGGTAGCCATTTCCTCCCCCCATGCCATGCCATGCCATGCCGTCTCACGCTCCCATGCCATGCCATGCCATGCCATGTCATGCCATGCCATGCCATTTCAATGCCATTTTATCTTCAATGCCATCCATGTTAACATTCGCCCCCTTTTCCTAACTGCACCCCTTATGCCATGGTTTTCTGTAGCATGAATGATTCCTGTAATTCATTGCTTGTACCATTTATGTGACTGTACCATGTTTGTGACTGTACCCTGCTTGTGGCTGCCCCCTGCTTGTGGCTCTACCCTGCTTGTGGCTGCCCCCTGCTTGTGGCTCTACCCTGCTTGTGGCTGTACCCTGCTTTTGGCTGTACCCTGCTTGTGGCTCTACCCTGCTTGTGGCTGTACCCTGCTTGTGGCTGTACCCTGCTTGTGGCTGTACCCTGCTTGTGGCTGTACCCTGCTTGTGGCTGTACCCTGCTTGTGGCTGTACCCTGCTTCTGGCTGTACCCTGTTTGTGGCTGTACCCTGTTTGTGGCTGTACCCTGTTTGTGGCTGTACCCTGTTTGTGGCTGTACCCTGTTCGTGGCTGTACCCTGTTTGTGACTGTACCTTGCTTGTGGCTGTACCTGCGTGTGGCATGCCGTTGTGGTGCCATGGTGCTGAGGCCCATTGCGCCAGAGGTTGAGGATGGGGTGGGGACTCACATCTTCCTCTCTCTGCTCCCCTGCATGCCCCTCAGTGCGCCGGGTTCGAGGTGTATGTGGTGCAGCCGGCCGCGTCCAGCCACCCCACGGTACTTGCTCTCTGCCACCTCTGCCCACTCTCCGCAGTCACATTGTGCTCCATGGCTTGTGTAGCGCGCTGCCTTTCCCCTGCGCCTGCTGCACTTCATTGGCCAATGTGCGGTGTGCCCCGTGCACGTGCCCCTTGCCCCTGCTCGCAGCTGTGTGCGGGGCGCAACACGCACGGGTTCACCTTGCAGCAGGTGCAGGCCATGGCAGAGCAGTGGGAGGGCCTGCCGCCGCACATGCTGCTGCTCGATGTCAAAGTGAGGCCCGCATGCTGCCACCCCATGTCTTGCGTCCCCATGTGTCACGTCCTGCCCTCTGTTCTGCTCCAACCACCACCCTCAACCTCCGCTGCTGTCAAATGCCCGTGCGGCCTTCCCGTCATCACTACACCCTCACACCAGAACTGAAGGTCTAACCCATCATGCTTGTGCGTGCATGCATCTGTGTGTGCGTGTGTATGGGTTTGGGTGTGTGTGGGGGGGGGGGGGTTGGGGTTGTGTGTGCGTGCGTGCGTGAGTGTGTGTTGTGTGCAGTCACTGTTCCATGAAGACACTCTTGACGATGCATCCATCACAGAGGTAAACCCTTCCCGTCAGTGCTGGCGGCGCTGCAGCACAGCAGCGCATTGTGTTGTGTATTTTCTTGTTGCCCGCCTCTCCCACCTTTTGATTGCTCCACTCTCTGGTCTATGCTGTTGCTGAATGTGCTCTCTGCATCCTGCCATGGCATGGCATGGCATGGCGTGCAGGTGGAGATGGATGCGGAGGATGACGAGCTGCACATGGTGCAGGAGGAGGCAGCCACGGCGGCAGCAGCAGAGGAGGAGAGGCACAGGCAGCAGCAGCAGCAAAAGCAGCAGGATGGGGGGGCAGGAGTGGCGGGCAGGGATGGGGACAGTGCAGAGGGACGGTGGGCAGGCAAAGATGCTGGCAATGGTGGCGGTGTGAAGAGAGGGCGGGAGCCGGATACTGGGTCTAGTGCTGCTGGTGCTGATGCCGACAGTGACGAGGAGGATGACGACGACGATGATGATGATGATGATGATGATGATGATGATGATGATGATGATGATGATGGTGATGGTGGTGGTGGTGGCGCCTTGGCAGGCCTCCTGGCAGCATATGGCAGTCAGAAGAAGCAGAAGAAGCAGGGGGCTGCACAGGGTGCAGCAGTGGGTGGCAGCAAGAGTGGGATTGCGGTGCGCAGCATTCTCAAGAGTTCAGACAGCGGTGGCAAGAAGAAGACTCTTCGATGGGTGGACAGCCAGCCGCACTCTCAGGTATCAACCCCTGCTATGCTACCCTGCCCCTTCCTCCCCTCCTTTCGTCATATTCATACTGCTGTCTCCCCTCCCCATGTCCACACATCCCTGCACCCCTCACACTCCGTCACTTCTCTGCTCTCCCCCCACCCCACCCCACCCCGCCCCACCAGGACCCGTGCTTCACCATGGGTGCAGCCGGGCCCCCTCCCTCTGCCGCGCTCAGCATTGGCCCTGGTGCCGGCTACTCCCTGGTGCGCCCCATGCCTGCAACCGTCACCTCAGCTGCCCACCCGCAGACGCGTCTGCTGAAGGCATTGCTCGTTTCATGCTTGTTGCTGCTTGTTTGTGCCTCCTCTGCTTGCTTGTGTATCTCCATGCTTCTGCTAACCTCTCTTTGCCCCTCACATGCTCCCTCTTTCCCCATGGGCCACCATCCAACAACCCCCCCCCTCCCTTCTCCCTCCCGCTTCCCCTCCTCCCACCAACCTGGCTGTATCCCGTTGTTGGGTCGCTACCCGACAGGCGACCAACCCCATACGGGAAGAGGTGGAGGTGGTTGGTGGAGCGGCGGGTGGGGCGGGGGGCGGGTTCCAGATAGTGGCGGACCACGCGGCACAGCAGGTGCTGTGGCGGCAGCAGCTGCGCGCAGAGGGCGAGCAGTTCAGAGCCATCATGCGCTCCAGACTGGCACGGGGGCTCCGAGATGATGAGGACTGATGCTGTAATTCACATGATGTTTGTTGGTAACAATTCACTTTCACTGCATTGGCTTGGCACCTCAGGGATTGGGCTATGCGCATTATTTGATTTTTGTGCCAATCATCTTGAATTCCTCTCACGAAGTCCAGAAGCGCTAGGGCATTCCTTTGTTCTTGATTCCTGGCCAAGCAGTTCCCATGCACTGCAAGGCAAAAGCTAGCACGAATAACGGGATGCAGCATGAATGCAGGCTGCCAACGCCAAGTAAGCTTGGAAAAACGTATGCGGGCTTCAGAGCCTGGATCGTACTGTGACTTGGTTGCCCAGCCCAACTCCCAGGGCTACTGTGCTGCATGCAGCACCTGCATCACCCTCCTTGCCCGCTCCACTACCCTGGCGGCCTTGCTGCTCCGCCTGCCCCCCTGCTGTCCTCACAGGCGCCCTGCTCTGCCTCTGCGGCCCCACCAGGAACTTGGTGTGGCGCCCCACCGCCAGCAGCACACCGTCACTGCGTCGGTGGAAGAGAGCCTTCAACGGCAAAGGGAGGAGGTTCCAAGAGATGGAAAAGCGGAGGGAGCAAGCGCATGAAAGGGTGGATGTCAGAAGAGGCCTGGGGGGCGAAGGCTCGTGCATGCAGAATCAGAGTCGAACGAACACAAACAAACCCAGGGATGCACGTGGCCGACGACAGGGCATGGGGGCATGAGGCAGAACACAGCACGAGAGGATGTGATGGCGCATGAGTGAGTTACGACAAAGGCGGGCTGTGGCTGCATCCAGATACCGCATGCATGGCGGCAGTACCTGCAGGAAGGCGAGGGACTTGCCCACTCGCAGCACCGACGCATCCACATCCACCAGCTCCTGATGGCGGGGGGGGCATGGGGGCATGGGGAATGAGACGACAGCACAGCACACACTTGCGTTCATCAGATATGAGAGGGGTTGCGAGAGCAAAGGAGAGGGAGCAGCGGCGATGCTTCAGGCGGTGTCCTCCTTCACACACGCCTTCCCCACGGAGCCTAGTGGCGCTGCAGGTGCGTCTCACCCCGATCTTGGCGGCGTCAAGGTACGCCACACTCAGGTCCGTCGACACGCCTCCTGGCGGCCCCACCGCCGCTATCAGCGCCGCTGACGTCACCACATCTGTCAGCGTGGCTATGGCTCCTCCGTGCAGCGTGTTGTAGCGATTCTGGTGGCGGCGAGAGAGGGCGACAGGAACGACAAGGAAGCGTTGGTTGAAGCGGCCGAAATGGAACAAAAACATCGCCAGGAACTCGGGAAGGTACAAGAGAGAGACGGAAAAGCGTGCTCGTGATAAAGCGAGAGTGCGACAGAGATGAGGGGAAAGCGAGGGAGAGAGAGCATTACCACGAGTTCAGGCGTGACGGCGATAGTGCACTGGCATCGGCCGTGCGACACTTGAATGTCGACCAGTGACTGCAGGCAGTGCTTCTCAACGCTCTCGCACACGCGCATTGTCCCCTCCCCTTCGCCGTCCGTCTCCGACCCTCCCTGCGGCTCCCCGCCCATCAGCGCCGCCAGCTCTTGCTGCACCTTCCCCGCCACCGCCTCGCGCGGCGGCTCTCCCGAAGGCCGTGTGGCGGGCGCACCTGAACGGGTGGCATCATGGACGGATGGTGCGGCGAGTGACGCGACGGTTCGCGCGGCGAGCTGCTCCGTCAGAGTGGCGTCCATTGGCGGGCAGTAGCTACGCATCCATAGCTCCGCCAGAGCAACCCAATCAGCATTCGCCATGTGGCGCCCAGGGAACGGTGGGTGGGAGATGGTGGTCTCAGATTCCAGATGTAATGTGCGTGGTGGGCGAGCTGTTAGAAACTCTGCGTTTGGACAGATGAAAGACTTGAGCCTCATATCACTAGCTCGAGGAGAGGAACTCAACGCATTGGGATTGCAGAGGTAGGGCGATTGCACGTTTGCATTCGCAGGCTTTGTTGCGTTTCAAACCGCACTGCACACACTTGCGGTCAACGAACACGTCGCAATCGCTTCGTGAAGATCATCCCCCTCTCAAAATTGTCGAGATTAGCTGGTAAGCGTCCGGGATCGCGCTAATGAAAACGGGCTCGTATGCAATTGCACAACGGAGCTTTCTGCCACGTCATCGTCGGCCAGCCACTTCGCTGGAGGAGGATGACCTCAAGCTGTTTTGTCGTTTGCAGGGAGCAATGTCGAAGAAATTCCTAGGGAATCGGGCGAAGCATGTACAGGGGTGAACCTGAAGACTCACATTACGACTTCGGACTAAGAATACATGCGAAAATGCTTCGCAAAATCAGGATTAGAAGTTGTTGTTACCTTAAAACCCCACGGCAAAATAGCAGAGGGGTTATCAAGCAGGGACCCCACTTGATGGAGCCCCCCACCATACGCCCGAGGGGACAGAGTGGGGATAGTTTGCGGGCAGGGCAGGTTTTGAAACAGCACGGAAAACCCCGCTGGTGAAATGATGGCTCATTAAAATACGTTTCGGGCAAGGGCTGTCATAAACTAAAATTTAACAAGTGTTGAATAGAAAGAGACAACAAGGGTATATACCTAAGAGTGTTGTACCCTCTACGAGGTGACCCTATACAGTCTATGCCAATATATGTTACACATATGTTTGACACACCCCCTAGACTGCATAGGGGCAAATCCTAAACAAGCAGGTCAGGGCGGCACTACTAGTCCAGCCACTGAGACAAGGGTCTAAGGACCAGTCAAAATGGGGTACAGACAAGACAAGAACAAGACCAGGGCGGCACTACTAGCCCAGCCACTGGGAGAGGACACAAGTCCAGTCTGAGTACATATATATAGATATATATATAAGACAGTACAACGGCAAGGTCCTAGCAAGTGAGTGGCTACAGGAACTAGACCGAGCTGTACAGAGTGCCGCTGATGATCTTTAGACGCAAGCCCCTTTGTAAAGATATCAGCTGTGTTGGCACCAGAGGTCAAGTGTGTCAACTTATACATATTATCTATGTAGAAGTTATAGGCTAGACTGAGGTATGCTTCTAGTGAGTACAACCAACTAGTATTTGTTCTAGGTTTCCACCTCTAGTAATCATTCGTTTCTACGTTAACATGGTATCACGCTTAGGTTAGGATCCCCCCGCCTACCGCTTCCGCCCGTCGCGCCTCCTAGGCCCCGTCGCGCCCCCTAGGCCCCGTCGCGCCCCCCCTGGGCCCCGTCGCGCTCGTTAGGCCCCGTCGCGCCCCCCCTGGGCCCCGTCGTGCCCGCTGGGCCCCGTCGCGCCTCCTAGGCCCCGTCGCGCTCCCCCTGGGCCCCGTCGCGCCCGCTGGGCCCCGTCGCGACCCCTAGGCCCTAACGCGCCCCCGCTGGGCCCCGTTCCGCCTCCTAGGCCCCGTCGCGCCCCCCATGGGCCCCGTCGAGCCCGCTGAGCCCCGTCGTGCCTCCTAGGCATCGTCGTGCCTCCTAAGCCCCGTCGCGTCCCCCCCTCTCTGGGCCCCGTCGCACCCGTTCGGCCCCGTCGCGCCCCTCCTAGGCCCTGTCGTGCCCGCTGGGTCCCGTCGCGCCTCCTAGGCCCCGTCGCGCCCCCTCTGGGCACCGTCGCGCCCGCTGGGCCCTGTCGCGCCTCCTAGGCCCCTTTCGCACCCGCTGGGCCCCTTCGCGCTTCCTAGGCCCCGTCGCGCCTGCTAGGCCCCGTCGCGCACCCCCTGGGCCCCGTCGCGCCCGTTAGGCCCCGTCGCGGCCCCCCTGGGCCCCGTCGTGCCCGCTGGTCCCCGTCGCGCCTCCTCGGCCCCGTCGCGCCCCCCCTGGGCCCCGTCGTGCCCGCTGGGCCCCGTCGCGCCCCTTAGGCCTCGTCGCGCCCGCTGGCCCCTGTCGCGCCTGCTGTTAGCGCTCGCCTGCCTGGCCTCCTAGTGCCGCTCGGCCTCCTCCTAGTGCCGCCCGGCCCCTTCCTAGCGCCGCCCGGCCTCTCCTCAGCGCTGCCCGGCCCCTCCTCGTGCCCGACCGGCCCCAGCAGCACCAGCCTGGCCCCTCCCAGCACCAGCCCGGCCCCAGAGCACCTGCCCGCCTCCCCTGCTCGGCCTGCCGTGTCCTCTCGGGCCCTGTGTCTTCTGCTCGCCTGCGCTGGGACGCCTAGCTGCTGCCCTACTGGAGAGTGCTGCCGCCGTGTCCCCGCGCCGCTGTGCTCCTGTGCCGCTGAGGAGCTGTGCTGCTGTGCCGCTGTGTCGCTGAGGAGCTGTGCCGCTGACCCTGCACGATGGCTGACTTTGTGCTCCGCCTGGACGCTGAGGGCCACGCGGTTGACTTCGCCGCCTGGCTCTCCGATCTCCGCCGCCAGCTTACAGGTCAGCGCCAGGATGGCCACTCTCTGGTTGTCCATGCTGATGGCTTGCTCCCCCGTCCCCCTGCACCTACTCCCCTCCCTGCTGACCCCTCCTCTGATGACCGTGAGGCTTTCTCTACTGCTGCGCTGGCCTGTGCGGTCTGGGACTCACGCGATGCAGTAGCTCAGGTTGCTATTAGTCACGCCCTCCCTGTGTCTGAGCGCTCGCGTTTTGCTACTGTTGAAACGGCCAAAGCTTATTTAGACGCCGTTATTGCTCGCTATTCCACCCCTGCCTCCGCTTCTGCTGGCCGCTTGCTCTTTCCGATGCTGTTCCCAGACCTGGCTGCCTTCCCTACTGTCGCAGACTTTGCCACTCATTTGCGTGCCCTAGAGACTCGCTATCGCACTGCCAGCACTGCTGCCCAGCTCACTGCGCTCCCCCCTCCTTTCTGCATGACGCTCTATTTTATCGCTATGCGCCTGCCAGACCGCCTCGCTAGTGCTCGCGACCACTTTCTTAGCCAGCACCCGGGTGACCTCACCCTGATCGCCTTTGTCGACACCCTCACTGAGATCGAGACTCGCCAGCGCACTATCGCTCAGTCGAGCGGTGCGCCGGCAGTCTCTATCTTTCACGGCTGTGCCCCATCCCAGTGCACGTTCACTGACGTTTTGGCTGCGGTCGCCACGGCGACCCCTCTTACCGAGACGGCTGCTGCTGTCCACCCGCAGCAGCGCTCGCGTCGCGGTGGCCGTGGCCGCCAGGGAGGTAGGGGTGGTGACGCAGGTGGTAGTGGTCGTGGTGGTGGTGACGGTAGTCCGCCTGAGGGGACTACCACCGGTGGGCAGGAGCAGCAGCCCCAGCAGCAGCAGGACCAGCCCCAGCCGCAGCCGCCGTCCCAGCAGCACCCGCCGCAGCCGTGGGCTCGTCTCCCGCCTGGTTGGCCCGGCACCTCCGGAGGCGGTGGCCGTGGTGGCGGCCCGCGCAGCTTGGCGTCTACCAGCGGCTCCAGTGCTGTGACCTGCCAGTACCAGCTTCAGACCGGGCCTCTCCGCGGCACTCTGTGCCGCCGCCCGCACCCGACCGCCCGCTGTTTCCGCCGCCTCGACGATCTTTTTCGTCGTCGCTTTGGCCCGGCCCCGGACCTCCCTGACTGGCACAGCCTACTCCGCCAGGGCGTGCCGATCTTTGAGTTAGACATGGATCAGATAGGTGCTGCTTTGCATGCTTTGTATGCTGACGCTTCTAGTGTTGCTGGATCTTACTACCCTGTGTACTCTAGTTTAGGTGTTTCACCCTTGTGTAGCTCAGCTTCCCCTGCTGCGACAGGCGTAGGACTGCCTAGGTTGCCTAGTCTAGTCGCTGCACCGGCTCCGTCCCCGGCCTCCGCCACTGCATCGCTGTCCTTCACTCTCGACTCTGGTGCTTCTGCCTGCTTCTTCCGCGACCGTTCCACGCTCACGCCGCTTGCTGCACCTGCTGTTGTCTCTCTCGCTGACCCCTCTGCGGGTCCGGTCGTCGCGCGCAGTTCTACGTCCCTTCCTTGTCCGGCAGTTCCCTCGGGCTCCCTTACTGGCCTCCACGTTCCCTCGTTCTCCAGGAACCTGGTTGGTGTCGGCTGTCTCCAGGACCTCGGCGTCACCACCACGTTCCCCGGGCACGAGCGGTTCGCTGTCTGTTCTGAGGCTGTCTCAGGTTCCCCCCTTGCGACGTTCCCCCGGGACCCGGTGTCCGGTCTGTTTACCCTACACACCGCTTCCCCCCCGGTTGGTGCGTCCTCCCAGGTCGCTGCAGCTTGCTCGTGTCGGTCCCTCACTCACCCCTCCCTTCTCTGGCACCACCGCTTAGGTCACCCTGCTCTCCCGCGTCTGCGTCACATGTCCCAGCACGGTCTTGTCTTAGGTCTCCCCGCGTCGCTCCCTGCCCTTCCTCCCTCGACTGCGCCACCGTGCACGCCTTGCGTCGAGGGTCGGCTCCGCCGTGCTCCTCACTCCTCCTCGCTGCGTCCTGCTACTGCCCCCTTCAGACCCTGCACTTGGACGTTTGGGGCCCTGCCCCCGTCCCCGGACCGCGCGGTGAGCGCTACTTCCTTGTGCTCGTCGACGACTACACGCGCTACACCACGGTGTTTCCCCTGGAGCGGAAGGCCGACGTGCCCGACGTTCTTCTCCCGTGGGTTGTGGCTGCGCGTCTCCACCGCGGTCTCCCCGTGTTGTGTCTCCACTCCGACCGTGGCGGCGAGTTCGCCTCTGGTCGGCTTGGACAGTTCTGTCGTGCGGAGGGCATCACCCAGTCGTACACCTTGCCGGACTCGCCACAGCAGAATGGGGTTGCTGAGCGCCGCATCGGCTTGGTCATGGAGGTCGCCCGTACCTCCATGATCCATGCCGATGCCCCCCATTTTCTGTGGCCGTTCGCTGTTCGCTACGCGGCTCACCAGCTTAACCTGTGGCCACGCTCCCAGCGGCCGCAGGTTTCGCCGACCCTCCTTTGGACCGGGTCCCCGGTGACGCGTCTGCGTTCCACGTCTGGGGCTGCCTTGCTCACGTTCGTGCCTCTGGCACGGACAAGCTCACTGCCCGCACTGTCCCCTGTGTCTTCCTCGGTTT